ATAGAAGATCTGCCAATGAATGACACTCATCTCTATCAAGTGGGTAACAAGTGTCCATTTTGATTTTTGTACTTATGTTTTGTTTTGGATATTTGTCACATAGTTGATGGAGATGGGTGTCACCCATATTTCAAATTAACACTCACTAGCCAACCACTCACAGAGTTTAATATAAACATAGCCAGATGGGATAACAAGCATGAAAAGGGAGATTTTTATCTATACACATCGTTTCATAATTTATTGTAAGATTATCAAGAGGATTAATTTATTTGCAAGTTTACCTAATGCATGGCAATTAATTGAGATAATACCTAATTTTGGTTACCTCAACAAATAGAAATCACTGTCCTTAAATATTCTGATTTTTTAGTCAGACGTTATTTTTGCACAAAAAATTGTATATTTAAATGGTTAGTATATATACCTAATAAACTGATCTTGCTGATTCTATCCCGTAATATATTTGAAAAAGACCAGGTATTATCTTTATTTTGAAACTGATTTATGTATATATGTAGTCTATTTACAAGGTTTTTTCCGATATGATGTATATATATTATATATATATATATTTTGGGGGTTTATATAAGTATACCGAACATATACAAAACATATACTGAAAAATAACACCAGTCCAAACGAACATATACCGAACATATACCATTTTCCGGATTTGTATATGTATATCGAACATACATCGAACATATACTGAAATAACTCCAGATCCAGGCGTAAAGTTATTTATAAATCTCATGAAGTTCATTCCAAAGACCATGAATATCATTCCAATAGCAATGTACCAACGTCTTAGAGCTCAGTGAAAGAAATCTTCCAGCACTAATTTCCAAACATCCCCAAATTATCCGATGCGGTGCTGGTGGACCCAATCGCGGCTGCTCTCGGCGGATTTCTGACGCTTTTTGACCGTCTTGATTTGACTACCGGAACTCAATTTTTTTCATATTCATGCAAAAAAAGCTTCTTTGTTAAGCGAAAGTGTTGGGGTCGGTGGCGACCATCGCCGTCTTCCACCGATCAGAAAAAGAAAAAAAAGAGAGACGGAGAGAGAGAAAGGATTCCGAAAAAAACAGAGAGTGGGAGAGAGAAAAAGGGAGAAGAAAAGATAGAGGGAGAGAGAAAGTCTACCTTTAATTATGCTAATCAGTTAATTGCAGATTTTAATTAATTATTTTTTATATATCTAGTAATTTTGTAATTAATGTTATGCATGTGGTAATTTCGCAATAAAAAGTGATAGATATTGTACAGGGTGTAATTTCCTCGAAAATAAACTGGATAATAAGATATGTTCTGAATTATAAGTTGATGGGCAGTATGAACAAGCTAATACTCATAGTGCAACATCCCGCCTACTATTACTAAAATGGGAGTAATTTTTTCGTGCTTTCATTTGAAAACGCTTTTTAATTTTTGAAATAGAACTCTAACTTTATTTTCGAAACACTTTATCTTTATCTTGCGGGATGCTATTTACTAGCTTTATCTCTTTATCTATAGATGATATAAAACAACATACATAATTCAATGTCTCATAGTCTGATAACCAGAAGCGAGAAACAGATTTTGCTAAACATGTTCAAAGCTAAATACATTATAGTTTTAAAAGAATCTACTAGCTTTGACCACCACCACTGCATGCTCACGCTTCACGCTGGACTCCGTCATCTAAAAAGATAGACAATAGGGGAGTGAGAAAAAATCTACGTGCTCTGCAGAAACGAGTACTAAAGTACACATCTAATATGATAACACTTCCATGAAATAAACATATACGTAAGTAAAACTGGCTATCACTACTCATGTTTCATCACATTCAATATAATCATGCATCACGTAATAACACCTCATGCACTATGTATATATGTAATGACACATCATGTAGTATGCATATAGGCAATAGCACATCATGTAGTAAGCTCATAGGTAAGTAAAACTGGTTACTATTAAACTGAATTGATGCTTAATTCCCACATGCTGACCGGTAATTCGTGTACACACTTTGAAGAATCATTCAGGCACGAAAGGCCTTCTTCGAAGGTGATAACTTATCGAAGAGACTATCTCTCAAGTGACCTATTCTGCAGATCATTGCCCTCGGGCAAAACTATTACATACATACTTAAAACATGGAAGAACTATTATAGTAAATGTAGCATCCAGTACAGGGTCCCCACCTAATAACTTATTGCAAATTCTAGAACTGAAATGATGTGTAGCGAACAGAGGCTTGACTCTCCTTAAGCTCCTAGGACTCAAAAATGAAAGTAAGAAGTGGCTAAGGGCCGTGGAGGCTCGCGTGGCTTGCTGGGGGCCTGGATCTGGCCGCTGGCTTGCGGATCTGAAAGGCACGCACGACTGGGAGGCTGCGGATGTGAGGGCACGCGTCTGGACGGGCGCTAGC